TTTAAACGGAACAAAAAAAAAAACTGATGAGCTTTCGTAAAATCGTCTAAAACCAAATTCACATTCTAATTCTCATTCAACAGGCGGCGAAAGTTATCCCAAGGTGATCCCATTTTAATTTTGTTCACTTCCTTATTCTTGACGGTTTTTTTGAAAGCGAAAAAAAAATATCCCATTAAATAATAATGAGTTTTGAAAAATAAATTATTTCGTTTCGCGTCAAATCTCCCATTGAAAATTGAAAATAAATTGATTCAACGATGAATTATACAAATCAAATTTAGTATGTGGGCTTGTGTGTGCCAAAAAAAAAAGTCAAAATCCAGACGCATTACAATTGAAAGTGTGTTGTTGTGCAGCCACCAAATCCATTTATTATCATTGTTTGTCATTGTTATTCGTTAGCATTTTTGGTAAAAACCTGCGCATTATGTAAACGATCATTTTGATTTGCATGTCAGCTAAAGAAAAAATATTGTACCACACACAAGATTGGAACGGAAGCAGGAGGATAAAAATAAAATTACAGTTCTGACATTCAGACTCCCTTGGTTCACAAATATGGTAAAAGGTTCTTGGAAGAAGTTACGGTTTTATACTGAAAATAACCACAGCGCACTTTTTTTAAACTATATTTATTCTGCATCGCTGATTATATGGTGTTTATTGGGCTGCCACCGTGCAACATCATTGGTAGTCACAATCTGACGCAAAATTGTGCTTCAAGTGTTTATCAAATACTTTTAACAGAGGAGAAGTTGGTCATGCGCATAGGGATTTGCGTGCTCCTTTCAAATTAAATTAAATGCACACTTTACTTTGTTTGCAAAACATCATTTTCTGTTGCGCTGAACCATGACTAAATCAGTTTTGAAGGGAACAAAATCTTTGAAGCGCTATTCTTGGAAAGTGAATCATTTTCAATAGAATACTCGACATGGTGACATCAAACGCGACTTTTAGTTTCAATGAAATGACGGAAAAAATAGACTAGAAAGAGACGTATTTTGATTTTAACTCTATTTTACTAATTTTTTACATATCAGCGGGTAATAAATGGGAGGAAAAATAAAAATCAATTTTCTTAACACAGTAAAATTGTCAATTTCAGACAGTTTTCCGTCTCCTTTATACACTACACTGCAATTTGTATAATATTCAGACCGAGAGTAGTTGGTAGTTCAGAATAAATGAATGTGATCAATATTCAACATAATAGTGGCTGGATCTCTCCATATATCATTATGTGTAATAGCATAATTTTACCATGGAATAAAGTTCTGTTGACCACTTATTCATGGAAATGAGTAAATTCTCCAGTTACGCAAAACGGATAAAAAGCTCAGCCGTTCTTATTATCAATATCAAATGAAATCCGACTCCTAGTCCGACTCTTAAGTGAAAAATTTTATTAACTAAAATAGTAATCCAGCTCATAGCAAATGTGTTTTCTGAAATCTTACCCAACCGAATTTACGGCTGAGAATAGCTCAATTCTTAACTACAAAGTATGATTTATTTCTTTAATAAATCTTCTTATCTATGCATTAAATTGACCTTAAAATTAACTTAAAAGCATGAAGACCAATCTCATAATATAAATAAACGTCTTTGAATGCAAACAAGTTTAGTTTTGCATGAAAAGCGATTTCAGTTGGCATATTTCACTCGACTGAGCAACATAAAATAAAACATGAAAATCGTGTATTTATTCTGGCTTATGCGTCGATTGGCCAAAAATTCGTTCCACTTTTATTGAACAAACAATGTTGAAATGTTTTCATTTCACGTTATGGATGGCCGTTGTTTTGACGAAACTCTTATCTCTTACCGTTTCGAATTGAAAATTCGGTGACTAAAAATAAATAATGGAATTCAATGTACATAAAGAACACAGAAAATGTCGACCCAGAATGTCATACAATGTATTTGCTACGGTATCATTCTTTTCTTACTTAGAATTTTTTTATTACGCCTCTCACTCCTGTGCGATAAAGTTTCGCTTATCAATGCAGATTAAACCAATTCGAAATGACCGCTCGCCGATGGAAGAAAAAAAAATTGTTGTCTGTTTACATGTTGCATTTGGTTACCGTTAATGGAGCCATAGTAATTCGGATTCTAAGAAAATACGATATGATTGGAGTAAAAGAGATGGTGTTTTTTTTGCATTTCAATTCAAATGTATAATTGCATAAATATTGCACATATTTGACATTTTGTTTGTTTTACGTTCAATTGAATTGTGAGCCGCCGACGACGATGATGATGATGATGAAGAAGAAGAATTGCGGCAAATTCATTTAAATTTGATGACGCGCAAATGAAGAACACGTCAAAATTCCGGCCCCGTCTCTGAATATTCTGCCGTCATATTTGTCTGGAGTGCAAAAAAAAGTGCTGTGTAGCATTTGGTTACTAATCCATGTGTTGATTTATGTGGAGACACATGTGCCTCTCTTTGCGTTGAAATACAGTGGCTAATGTGCATAAATCAACGTAATCACAACCAAATGTAATTCGATTTTTTGTTCGCCTTGAATTTGCATATTTTTGTAGCTCGACGATTTTCGATTATTTTTTGTTGTTGTTGTTGTACATTTTGCGCCTCTTTTTCCAATGTGTTTGTTAATCGATATCAAAGCGAAAATAATTATGGTAATTTTATTAAAGGATTTTACTTTGTTTTGTCATCTCATTTTCTCTCTTAACCGGATGTTTTAAATTCGTAAATGGACGCGCGGTGCATATTTTTCACAGATCGGAATGTTCAGATCTTCGAATCATTTGATTCTTTATTCAATACTTTCTTCGTCTAAATGGTAAATGATTAAATAGACTATTCTCTCACCATTAAGAAGTTCTCTTTTCGTTAATGGATTTTCACTCTAATTTATTCGATTTAAACGTTATTTTATACATTCTGAATTATATAATCCAATGTTATTTACATATGTTAAACTAAACCACATAAAAAAATCACTCTTAATGAAACTCTGTCTAATGGAATATTTCGATTTTTGCTCAATAAAAAAACAATTATCATGCAAAAAAGTGAAAGAAATCACTTTTTCTGTTAAAATCTCGTGCTAGCAGAACTTGATTTTGTGTGTAAATGATGTGTTGCCGATGATGACGTACTGCATACTTGCGATGTCCAATCAAATGACGTCAAACGCAATTGCTCATGGTCTGATATATAAACAAACCACACACCACTTGAACTTGATTGTGGTTTGTGGAATATTTTAACATTTAATATGAAGAAAATTGACTTAGTCATTCAATTGTAAGTTTTCACGTTCGTATCACGTTTAGTAAGGACATCAGGAAAGTGGTCATGTCATCATGTCTTTATTTTGTTTTGAAAATGCACACGATAATCCAACCTAATGAGCATTGTGCTTGAAAACGGTTTGACTTTTTGTAGACTTGTGCATATAAAAATGGAGCTGTTTTACCGTTTGATATGCATATATGGGACATTTTTTCAAACGGAACTGACTAAGCGTAAATTATTGAATCGGTTTCGATCTTGTTATCAGCTGGTATCGAATGTATGAATGATAAAATCAAACGATTATCTAATGAAGAATCGGCACGGTATGCAAAACGAATGTCATGTGTACACAGAGGACTTTGTACACGTAGACTTCAATGACGTATTCGTGATTTCAATTGCATTTCTGACACTGTAAGTTATTATAATGACTGATTCGTTAAACCACTTGATTTCTTCATAGGAAAATCGAACTTCTTTTTGGTGTTGAAAACCATAACATTGACTGAAAGGGGACTTTTTCAATTGGTCCTTAAGGACCTGGTTCGCTTCACTGTTTTTTTTTCTCAACTATATTCCAAGCAGAGACTGTTTCTCAGAGAAATGTATGCAGAAAGGGAGCGCTCCGAGGAGCTCCGAGGAGCAAACTATTAAAAGTTTAAAAAAATAATGATTTTTACGCTCTTCCGGCTTCTTAGAGCGCTTCCCCTGCTCTGATAATTCGATTTAACATGATTTATCGGAAACTATGATTTGCAAAGCATATTTATAAGAAGTGCATTTCCTACCAGGAAATTAATTTTTTTTCAGGTTTACATGTATGCAATTGTTCTTCTCAATTCACTTCACGTTGGTCAGACGTGTTTTGTGACTTCGAATAAATTATCATTCTGATCGTTATCGTTAGCTCTCCAATTTAAATACATTTCTAATGTGTTTTTGTGCTATTCGCTTAGAAGTAGTAACTGTCTGTGTGATAAGTCAAATAAATTACTTCCCACACGTCTGTCACACAAAATTGTGCAGGATCAAAAGTAGGGCATTTTTTTTCAATTTTTATCATTTGGTTTTTGAATTTCTTTCGACTTTTTACGTAAATATTCGGTCTGAACTTGATGAAATTATTGTTTGCAAATGAAAAACTGATTACTTCAGGGAAGTCTTTATCAGTTATTTAATAATGAAATGTTTCGCATGCTCCATACGTTGGTGCAATTGTTTTCAATTCAATAGTCAATATTTATAATATCGTTAGACAAAATGAAATCGATCTCGCATGAAGCAATGCAAGCTGAAAAGAAAAATGTGGAAAAAAAATATGTGAGAAGAAGGCAGTGGCGACGATGAGAAAAAACACTGCAGAAACAATGAAAAGAAGGCAACAAATGTTGAAAAACATTGTGCACAATATACGAGCGAAGTTGAAAAAGACAAACCGATTTTATTTGCAAAATGATCCAGAACTAAATTTCAATTGCTGACTCTTTTTCTCGCCTCGTCGCTCACTCACTCTCACTCCATTTTTCTTTGTCTCTCTCTCTCTCGTCCTCTTTGCAGGCTTTGGCTTTTATTCGTTGCTTTTTTTCTGTTTCGATTGCGATGGATTAATATTAATCAATATGGTAAACATGTTTCGTTTCGTTTTGAGCTGTCGACATTTACTATAAAAGCGACACGCGATCTCAATTGAAAATCAGATCAATCAAATATCTTGAGCACAATAGACGGCTCTCAACATATTGCTTTCAACTGTACTTAAATCGTCAACGAAATTGTGTTATCAAGTTGAAATTTTCTTTCGCTGGTTTTTGATCAAGAATTTTATCGTGTGTGCATTATTTCCTCATTTTTTTATTGAAAATTGTGCGGCCAGAATTTGAAAGGAAAATAAAATATGATGTTTATTATGGATTCATCGGCAATTGTTTTGTTAAGTTCCAATACACTTTTGATGGTGTTGACATGCGCTGTGGTGGCTGTGCTAGTGTTTTTAGTTGAATATACCGGCGCCGGTACAAAAAAATCCAACAAGAAATCGATGACGAATAGCAAGGCGTCCGATGAATTGCAACGACCACCGGGACCAACACCATACCCAATCATCGGCAATTTGGCGTGCATGGACGGATATGAGGTACCATATCAAGCATTCGATGATTTGGCCAAAAAATACGGAAACATCATAAGTCTACGGTTGGGATCGGTGCCAACGGTTGTTGTCAATGGCATCGATAACATTAAAGAAGTTTTGATTACAAAGGCATCACATTTCGATAGCCGGCCCAATTTCCGTCGCTATCACGACCTATTCAGTGGCAATAAACAGAATTGTAAGTATTTCAAAGGAAATATTTTGTTAATTTTAGTTTTTTAGTTTCCCAATTCAATATTTCCAAATGAAGGGAAATAATTTTTAAGAAGAGATCGAATCTAACCCGCAAATTTTCTCTTCTTTTGCTGTAGCATTGGCATTCTGCAATTGGAGCGAAGTACAAAAGATGCGCCGTGAAATGTTAACACAACACTCATTTCCACGAAATTTTTCGATGCGTTTCCAACACTTGAACGAAATAATCAAACATCAAATCCACACAATGGTCACAGATATCCAAGGAAAACGCGTAACTGTTGATACAGCTGTAGAAATCAAACCAATCATCATGGAAGCTTGTGCAAATATTTTCACACAATACTATTGTTCACGTTCGTTCACATCGCAAGATACCAAATTCAAGAAGATGATTCAAAATTTTGACAACATTTTCTGGGAAGTGAATCAAGGATATGCTGCCGATTTTCTTCCATTCCTGTTGCCACTCCATGCAAAGAATCTAAAAAATATGGCAAAATGTACGCATGAAATTCGTGCATTCATCGAAGAGAACATAATTGAAGATCGTTGTGAAACCTGGACTGAATGCAATGACGGTCAAAATGATTATGTTGAATCACTCATCGATCATGTACAACGTGATTTGGAGCCAAAAATGGAATGGGAAACGGCATTATTTGCGCTTGAAGATATTTTGGGCGGTCATTCGGCGACTGGTAATTTTTTGGTGAAAATTTTCGGTTTTATTGGACAATTGCCGGAAGTGCAACAGAAAATCCAACAAGAAATCGATAATACATTGACCAAAAAACGTTCGGGCAACTGTAATGTCATCGAATTATCGGATCGCAATCATATGCCATACACAGAAGCGGTTATCATGGAAGCACTTCGTTTGATTGCATCACCAATTGTACCGCATGTTGCCAGCCAGGACAGTTCGGTTGGTGGTTATTTGATTGAAAAAGATTCGCTCATTTTTTTGAATAACTACAATTTGAGCATGTCACCAGAGCTATGGGACGAACCAACCGCATTCAAACCGGAACGTTTCATTCAGAATGGTCACATCCATAAGCCAGACCATTTTTTGCCGTTCGGTGCCGGTCGTCGCAGTTGTATGGGCTATAAAATGGTACAATTTATAAGTTTTTCGGTTATTGCAAATTGTATGCAACATTTTGATATGCGACCACCACCAAATGTAACACACAAAGTGGCCGTCGGTTCATTGGCTGTACCAGAAAAATCATACGAAATGGTTTTTACTGATCGTGCTTAAAATCACAACAGATCGATGTAGATGACAAGTATAGACATTTTTCTTTCCTGCTAAATTTTGCACTCAGTTTTTTGTTTTGCTTGGAAAGGACTTTTTCAAAATTTTCATAATTTTCATCGAAAATACTCGTTGCACTTTATTTATTCTATTCATCATTTTTTTTTTTCTATTTATATGTATTTGATATATTCTTTTGTTTCGTTTCATATGTTTCATTACCCACTTTTTTTTCTCGATAAATTGTGAATTTTATTTATGTGTGTGAAGCCCAAACATCGATCTCTTGTGATTTTAATGTCTTTAACATTACGAAAAGATATTTTTTCAATAGTTACAAACTAAAAGATATGGAAGAAGATAAAAAAAAATGATGAACGTTTCTTTAGTTTGATTTAGTTGATTTTTAACTAGAGTTTTTCTTGTATTTGCATTTAATTAAGATATTACATCAAAAACACACAAAACTGTATATAAAAACCAAAGAATATATATTGTATAACTTATTAATTAATATAATAAAATAAAATTTAAATTGAAAATTAATGTTGAAATGGAGTTGGTGTTCTGTTTGTTATCAATTTTACAGGCTTTTTTTTTCTTCTAATTCCTTGAATATATGCTTATTTTCGAGGAAGAAAAAGCTTGCGGATCGATGTGAGTTGCTCAGGTAAGCTTACTTTTCTACATTTGTTCTGTACGCGACATGTAAATTGATTTACGTGAGATATGGAATTCACATAAAACTCACTCTTCTTTCTGCACCTCGGTAATCCTCCGGCTCCTTAGACCGTTCTTACTCACACTGAGAAACCGTTTCTGTACAAATGATACTTTTGAAAAAAATGCTTAAAGTTTCAAAACGAAAAATTAAATAAATCGATAAATATTTCCTGCAAAAATTGAAGCGCTGAGTAAAGGTCTTCATTTTTCCACAACTCTATTCTAAGGGGCTTTTGATTTCACTCGGATCAACAAAATTTACAGGGTGGGCCAAATTATTTTTCTCTTGTCAAAAAAAATCTCAACCAAAACCGACAGAATTTTCCAGACCTCATAAGGGGGTTGCCCCCTTACTAAACACTACTGATCTAAACATAACACGAATTCATGTTCATTGTTCCATCTAAGTTTTTTTTTTTTGCATATTTCAAAACTCGCTGCTCAAATTAGATATAGCTATGACAAGTCTATTGGACCTAAAAATATCGCTTGTTACTGCCATTTTTATTGAGCTCAAATCTGTTCACAATACATTTTGTCTGTGGTGTATGAGAAAAGTAAAAAAATGCGAAGAAAAAAATAACCATCACACACATAATAATGAATTCGATTCGATTCCAGTGGATGAATAAAATTTAAGAAAATATTTTAATGGTATCTAAATTGCGTTTATGTCCATTTTCCTCCAATGCGAAAATGTGACGGCACCGAATATGAATTGTGCAAGGACAAGGGCATTTTTGATTGATATACAATGTTTGCATGAATCCCATTTAAAGCGGATGAGAGCGCGGAATACATTTAGCGGCTTCTGTGGCTCTCATGATGGCTATACCTACTGCTGCTATGTGTGTATTACTCGTCTTTTTTTACTACGTCAGGCGCAAAATCCCAACTATTTTTGTGATATTTTCTGCATTTATTAAAACACAATCAGTGACTGTATATAAAAACGTGATAATTCATTCTCTTGTTTGCCTTGTATTTTTTCGTTTACAATGTATTTTTAACTGATTCGATTTGCATCTATATGAAATGCAATTTTTTTATTTATCATCATCAAGCGGTCTTTTTTTGGAGCGCGAAGTGTACAAATGGATGCATTAACAATTATTGTTAGGTGAAAATGAGATCAAACAGTGTTTGGATCCGGCAAAACGTGAAGCAGTGAATGCATAAATTTGACACATTTTTCAACAATGTATGAAAAATCACCATGCAAGTAGGCAGCTTAAGACCATGGATTCGAAAATATTATCTTATGAATGCGAAAAATAGCAACAATAACAAGCAAAAGCTCAAACCAGAATGATACAATTTTTCGTTCCAAGGTTGAAACGATTTCGCGTATTTGTGAAAAAACGTGAATTATTTTAAGTTGTGTATTTAATAGCATATTTAAAACCAAACCAAAAACTTACAAATGCTGATCAAATCACACCAATATGCAGCACAATGAAATGCCATTTTTATTGCATTCACGTGCTGGAACGAAACATTTTCAGGCAGACAAGTTAATTTGAAAAGAAAAAAAAAATACATAAATATAAATCGAAGCGATTTAGCAAAGTAGCAACATATAGATTGGCAGACGGCGAAGATGACGTAGAGACAGAGAGTGCGGAGGGGGCAACGAGAGCATTTTTAATGCACAAAACGGAAAACGCGAGAGTGTTTTGAAAGAGTGAATTTCAAATGAACCTCGAACTTTATTGTTATTATTGCGCGAAAAACGAGTTTAGATATCAGCCCGCAATTAGACTATCGAAACGAAGTCTTTGAATCGATTTTTTTTACCCATGTACAAGTACATTGTAAATATTATGGTGTTGAATTTTTGACGAAATAAAATTTCATTTGCTTTTGACTCTAATGCAAATAAGACCGATTTTTGTGATAAACTCATGACAAAATGATCTCGTGCTTGTATAGGTCTTTAGGTGTGTGATTAACAATATATTTTTTTTTATTTCCCATTCTACAGGTGAATCATTTGAAACGTGTCAAAACAAAGTGGAAACATACATGTAGTTTTTTTTTTAAATATTGAGATAGAGAAAAAAACAAATTGTACACGAGCAAAATAGATAGAGCATAATTCAGGTGTTGATTTACTCGCACATTCGAGCCAGTGCAGAGAGCAAAAAAACTCACACTCTATAATGAAATTTAAAAGTACCTTTCGATGCCATCATAATCGCCTAATATAGATAGAGGAAATATACAATCACATGCGAATATTGCGTCGAGAGTCATAAAAGATTTTTTGAAATGATAAATGAGACGAGCTAAAAACTGCTTAACATATCATTAATTTCGCCTGTAATTTACTCGAAAAATATCGTCAGTATTCGGTCGCATGCTTGGCTCTGTCATGTACAATTGTACTCGAAATAACAAACAAGCGTGCGATATCCACACAGTCAAGATCTCTCTTTCTATGAACTATGCGCTTCAAGTGTGCTCACAACGAGCAGCTACGTAAAACTACTTTAGCTCAAAATTCCGTTGCGCTTTTTTTTCGATTTGGTTTTTATGTTGTTGTTTTTCTTTGCTGTTTCCAGACGAATTCGGTACATGCAAACGCTATATTGCATCAAAACTTTTTATTATATTGGTGTATTAAATAAACGACAACGACTGTGCGCGCGCGAAAAAAAACATAGAGATGAGAATCAGTTTGGAAGTGATGGGTTAACTCGATGATTGGAATGATGCTCTGTTTATTATTCCAATGGAAATGTATGCGCCTATCTAGATCCGTAATATTCAAAACATCTGATTGCTGCCCATTCGCGTTGCACACACAATTCCCAACCGAAACAAGCATATATATAGTGTGTGAATATTCCGGATGTCGGATGCGCATGTGTCGGAGAGAGTGACAGAGAGAGATATGAATGCGGTCGCTGAACTGAAAACGAAATTTTCCCCGCATATTCGCTTTTAGTGTCTTATTACAGTCGATTGATGCGATTTTCCCAGTGCTTGGCTGTCAAATGTTCTGCTGGAGTATTTGCTAGAATGAAGAAAATTGTTTGAGCTTGTACGCAGCAGCACCCGTAAACTTTTGTTCACACTATTTTTTTATTGTGTGTGTGCGCGAGAGAGAGATAGACCGTAATTCATATTGGAATATATCAACCCTCCACATTCAACCATACACAAATAAATATATAAACAGAGTGTGTTATGAGTGAGCCGCAGCAATCACTCTTTGCACACATTTCGTATGAAAATTTTTTTTCTCGTGAGCCGAGACAGCGCTCTATGCACTCAAACGAAAACAGTTGCTGAGTAGACTTTCAACGGACCAGACGTCTCGATATTTTGACGTGCACAACAGGAATAATAAAAAAACACAAACGACTTATTACTACTCTGCTGCATTTCAAATCTGTAATCAAATAGTCCATCAAAATTGTGTCCGTGTTAGTGCAAAAGGCAAATGTTAAAATCAAAGCTGTAGCAAAAGTTATCGAGTATTTTAAGCAAAGTGTAAACGTTAATTTAATATTCGAATCACCAAAAATAGTTTCGATTAAAGAAATGAATTGAATATAACAGCTTCAAAAATAAAATAGTTTTTAATGAAAACAAAGTGAAAAAACGCCGCCGCGAATGACAACTGATAGAAAGTTGTGAGCTTAAGGCAAAAAAAATAAACTCCTTCATCCGTTGGAATGTGCCGTGTGTTTGACTGGAGTGTGTCATAGAATAGCGTGTGTACATACATATTTGATTCGATAGTGGACGTGGTGCGTGTGCGGCGGCGGGAAAAATCAATGGTATTTTTTTTTTGGTTGAGAAATTCCTTGGAGTCATTCAACCAGACGATTTGCCAATACACAAAACTTGATACCGTTGACAAAGTAAAATTCAAACGTATCAAACTGAAAACGCACGCATTTCGGAAAATTGTTTGGTTTTTGTCAAAAAGAGAAGAGAAGAACTGTCTATTTGCTGAAGGACACAAATTGAAATTATTCCGGTATTTTGAAAGGAAATCATTAGCGAGAGGAAGTACTTGGCCTACGTCAACACAAACCATCTCTGAATAGACATCGAAAAATGTTGAATATTGGAGAAAAGCGATTGGCAATTCGAAAATTGTGAATAAACTGAAACGAGCACATACAAAAGCGAAAAAAGAGGAAACATTTCACTTGTCGCATTTCTTCAACAGATGACAAACTTTTCAACCATTATAAATCGTTCATTTGTAATCTATGCTGGTTTTTTCATCATAACCGTTGTCACCGACCAGCCAACCGATCCGAAGTGAATGAACAGCGGCGCGCACACGACAACGTCGATCAAAATATTGAGCGAGAGAAGAAGAAAAACCACTCACATCACAAACATATATTTATAAACACACAAACAAAACAAAATATGCTCATTAAATAAGTAAATTCAGAAAATTCATTTCAAACGTGTCTATATGTACGTGTTCACTCTATCGTATTGAGTTAAGTTGTTGTAGTAAATGTTTATAATAGTGTAATATTCCTTGTGAATGCTTTATCATCATTATTATCCAAGCATCAGCATCGACAGCAGCAACAACATTATCATGACAACGATTGCCCTTGCATAGATTTCAGTATGCCTGTCGTTATTTGAATTGATATTTGTATTGTAAGCTGCTTGATTTGATATATTTTTCCTTCGAAAAAAAAAATATTCGCAAAGAACTTCGCTCTCTATCCATCACATTCATGCTTTGGCGTTGATTCAAAATTCCAAGAAAGAGAAGATATATCACTAAAAAAAATTATCATCATCGGATGTCAGTGTTCCTTTATTGTTGAATAGAAATTCGTGTATGTGTATTTGCAGCTCAAACGACTCGACTAAGAGAAGACGTGGGACAAACGCTGAAAAAAGAACATGTTTGAACCAAAAATATATGTTGTTTTAAGCTGCGTTTAGTCACAGTGTGTGTCGCTACGACAACGAATCATTTGCTGCGATTAGGCCGGTGTGTATTTGATTCGGATATATTATTTCTTATCAGAAACACATAAACATACAATTTCCAATCAGGAACCGAAAAACTTTCCGACACAAAAACAACCAGCACTTCAGTAACTTTGGAGATAAACGGAAAAACAGTGAAAAAAAGAATTAACCAAATTGAATTGATTGACACTGGGTTCATGTTCAGTGATATAAAAATCCCCAATCAATTAATTTATTCGATCGAATGACCATTTGCCTAAGTGTAAACAATTTATGGCAATAACATCGAAATTAATGAGTGAACATTGTGTTTTGCGTACGCTTGACAAAGAGATACACCAGAAAATTGATTTCTTTTCTTCGCTGCATTCCGAAATCATATATCCGTGATAAATCGGAGAAAAGTGTTTGCGTCTGTGCAAACAAAAGTGAATTAATTGGTTCCACCGTAAACTTATCTAATATATTACAAACAATTGACGCGTGGGCGTCAGGTCATTACCTGAAGTGTTTTCAAAACGAAAACGAACTGGAGTTTTCTGTCGAAGGGTAAGCTAATCTAAACAATTTACATTGAGTGTTTTATTTTTTCATTCGTTCGAATGAAAAGATATAAACAATTTGCATTAGAGATGCTTTGCCATTTTCGTTTCATTCAAGAACAAGAAGAAAATAACGGTTCTCGTTTTACCGCGATTCTCTCTTTTTTTCCACATAATATTGCCAATTTTCTGAATTCTCTCGTTCATCCGCGAATGGATTTTCATTTGATTTTCAACATTTGGGCTAATGAGAAGATATATACACTCACCGACTATTTTCACAAACAGATTACACATCCTTTTGGGATATAATAAAAATGCTATTTTTATTTATATTCTCTTTCGGTTTTCGAATTTCTTATTATTCTTCTTCGTGCTGTTGTTTCGTCTTGCGTATCATTTAATTGGTTGTATCTGTTGAAAAGTGTATCACACTCTGAACAAGACGTCACAATCGCACGCGATTTCGTGATATGATTGTTGCTGTTGCTGTTGTTGTTGTTCAGTGTGTGAGATTTGGCGAGAACGTGCGCGCTTCACTCAATAGAACACACTAGTATCAACAAACCATTGACATTAACAAGCCAAACAAATGAGCACTTTTTCACGACGATGTGATGAGAATGATGAGAAGAAGAAAAAAAAACGTCGTCGTAAATTTTTATTTTGCTATTTTTAAAAAAGAAGAAGAAAAGAGAAAGAGTTGATAATAATCTTGAGATTGAGTTTGCTGATGCCGTTATTTTTTATTGCTAAATTTAGACGGAAATTCTTTTTTTAAATACTTCGATAGATCTATGTATAGTGTTGACACAGCTCGTGTTGTGTGAGCCAATCCATTCAATATTAGCTGTATATACCATTACCATATCATGTATGTTATGGGTATCACATTTCAGTCGGATTCACAGGCACACACACACACATTGAACGGACACCGATTTTTTTAGCTGTGGAAAATCGGACCTGATTCGCTCATACTCATTTGATTCCGTTTTGTAAATGAGAATCATTTGATTCCATTTTATATGCGATTTGACAATACAAACGTATTTTCTATTGTCGATCGAAATGAAAATATACGAATGAAACGGTGAAGGAAAAGAATGGAAAACATAATTCGCAAATGAACATTTATTTGCCGCTATGGAGATGATCGTAAAAATGAACATGCAAATGGTAATGAAATGCTTTAATGTGTTTACGTTACGCAAATTACTCAACAAAGACCATTAAAAATGCAAATGAATGAGCAGCAAGAGAGAGAGATATAGATGTGCCAAATCCGATATGTTAATACATTTTGTATTATGATAATATTTTATTAGGATGCTATTAACTATTAATAACCAATCATACTACGCATAATAACATGAGTAGTAGTATTAAGATCGATGTTAATAGCGAGTAGTAGTATGTTTATTATCTATTAAGATGCCGAAGTTAATACGCGCCATTTGCAATTTTGCACAGCAAAATACAAGTGTGAGTTGTGTGTTAGTAGAATGTCGATTGTAAACAAGTGTGAATGCAAGGGTGAGCGAGACAGCATGAAAAAAAAGATTTGCCAAGCACGATTTGGGGGACAGAGATGACAAATTTTTACGTTCTGTTCACAACACACGATATAGACGACTTAGCTGTGTTCGAGAATTGAGAAAAAAATGTTTTTTTTTTTTCACTTGTTGTGCTCTATACCAAGTCTCCGAGAGTTTCATATAAAGTTGCCATGTAGATGATGAAAATATGCGAAAAATGAAAAAAATAATTAATTTTTTTTTCTTTGATTTACAAATACTATCACATTTTCTGTATCATCTGGTGAAATCAGAATGAAAAAACTCGCATTCCTTATCATCTAAATCACGATTGGCATTTTGTCACTATTCAATAGGTGTTACATAGGAAGTTTATATGAAACTCTCGGAGACTCGGTATAGAGCACTCAAAAAGTGAAAAAAATCCAGATCGTGATTTAGATGATTAGGAATGCGAGTTTGTTCATTCTGATTTCACCAGATGATACAGAAAATGTGATAGTATTTGTAAATCGAAGAAAAAAAATTTAATTATTTTTTTCATTTTTCGCAATTTTTCATCATCTACATGGCAACTTTATATGAAACTCTCGGAGACTCGGTATAGAGCA